CATCTTCTTTCTTCTGACTCTTTCTCTTCTGAACTTTCTCTTCTCTCTGCCTCTGCCCTGCTCTGCTTTTCATCTGTCCATATTGTCGGAAGTTTAGCTTCTCAACTTCCTTCGACAATATAGTTAAAGATATGTATCTATATATATATATACACATAATAATTCCATGATATATATATATATATATACTAAATAATCTCAATATACATATAGATTCGTATATATATATATATATATGCTTTCTCTACCCAGCAATTGTGGGATATTGCGCTTTGGCTAGTGGTTGCCGAAGCATAATCGCTGCCCCTTGCTCAGCATATCTAGATCATTTGGTGGATTTTCCGCAAGGGTTCCTCCAAGATATTCTCTTCAACCAAAAGACTTCGCTAATGACATTTCAATATGTTTCATATATATGTATATTCGTATATATATAGTTATCATGTATAATAACTAGAACACCTATAATGACTAGAATTACTATAATAACTAGAACATAATTATCACAACTATATTGAACCCCCCCCTTCGATTCCCCCAAGGTCCGCCTCTAAAGCCGCGTTTGCAAGAAGTCACCCCGCGGGCCCACTTTTTGCACCAAGATTCCAGCACCAGGATAGCCCTAAGTCAGTCGCTTTGGGTACATGCTGGGGTCAAAACACCACGTTTGTGAATCCCACACTGTTCTACACATGTACACACCAGAATCAACCCCATCCGCGTTGCAACAATGTGCTGCCCCCAGTTACACGTTGCCTCGCAAACCCCATAACCTGATATTTATACATATATCTAACTATATGTATGCATTTATATATATATATATGTCTGTGTGTCTGTGTGTGCGTCGTGTCCCCCCTCCCTGAAACCTACCTTTTTGGTACCCGCCCTCGAGTCCAAGCCCAGAAGACTTTTTTCGATATCCGCCCCAACTCCACCCACGTCCGTCCGCAGCGGATATGCCTCGTTCCCTTGCTCTCTTCTCCTGTTCCAACCCACGCCTACCTTTCGATCTTTCACCCTTCCCTCTCAAGTCCGATTGTATCGCCAGGTTTGCCCCACAGGAGCACGGCCTGCGCTTGGCCTGTGCCTCCTCAGATGGCTTGGCAGGGATGCCCATCGGACCAACAAGAATGCCGGCATATAACATCATATAACCAATAGAATTCTCAATTGAAAATGATGAAAATGGGGGAATCATCTAACTGGAAAAAATATTTCAGTTCATCAGTTAATCATAACAAACGAGGTGTGATTAATGGATTTAATGGGTGCAACTCATCGTGTTTGCTTGATGGTTTCAGAGATGTTGTATTTCCATCTCTCCCAGGGCCGACCCCCAGTGACTACTGTTGAAGGGGAGTTGAAACCACTCAGCAGATGATATGATATTTTAAAGATGTCGAAACACACGGATGAAAGCAATGCATGAACAGGTTATCAAAAGGGAATGATTTTAATGAATGGTTGAAATGATGTTGAAGGGCTGTTGATTTAATCTGCGTCCGATGGTTTGAGATCTGTTCCTGACATGCGGCGGGGAAAAGACAACGTGTAGATTTTGTGATTTTTGGGGAGTTTAAATGTTTGCCGGTCGGCCTGGTTCCTGCATGTTGTGCTGGGGCAACCCAACCAACAACTCGGTTGACATGTTGCCGAACATGAGCGAGCCACGTTGTTATCATTTGAGTAGCGGTGAGGCATCATACCCAGCATGTTTTTTAATGTTTTTTTTTGGTACGGTCAAACATGCTCAGCTTCAGGTCTCAGTGCTCACCTACTCCCATACCGATGGCCAGTGGAGACGGAGTGTGCTTGGGCATCGAAGGGATCGGAAGGGATGTGTTCGTCAACATGCCTTAGGGTCCAGAGTCCAAAGTCTTGATTTTGATTGGGCTCTTATCAAGACTTTTGTTTGATGAGCCATTCCAATGCTTTCTTTACATCGTGTACTGATGTGCTTCAAACTCCTATGGCCATGGCTCGGGATGAATTGGTCACCATCTGAGATTAGCCTGGGACATGCCGACACTGAACACTGTTAGCCTCAGCGAATGTAGGATTCCAGATCAACTCCACACAACAACATAACATCACCGAGCCTTTAGTGAGTCTCTCACTGAGTCTGGGATCATGTCGCGCGCATCTTCGACAGGTAATGCAGGGACACCCTGGCGGTGCCCAAACGGTGAATTGGGCACCAGGCCAGCACCAGCAGCAGCACCAGCGAACATTCAAGTGATGATCAAGTGATGAAGTGATGGGTCAATGAAGTCAAAAGTCACGTGATGTCACGTGATGTCACGTGCCTACTTGAGATGGGTCATCTCCGATGCCAAGTTTCTGTGCCCAGTGAAACCAAGGCATACACAAGTCATCTTAAATTCATTTTGACCACCACATTCAGCGTGTTAAGATCGTATTTTGATGGGAACCTGAACGGTTTCGAGAAATCTCATCGGTTTCTGATCGGTTTCTTGTCGGATCCAGTTGTGAGCACCGCCAGTCAGCTACCGGGACGGCGAACCCTGCGGCTCTGTGCGTCTGGCCACAGGGGGCTGTGACCACACGGCAGGGATCTCAGAAAGACGTCAGAAATACGTAGTGAAAATGCACCATGTGCTTCATTGAAAGTGAATTGTGGTTCATACGTGGAACAACTATGATTGATATAACTTATATATAACATGTATCAAAGACATATACATACAATATCATACAATATCATACAATGGAGGACCTAGGAGTTGACATTGATTTTTTTCAATGGTGGTGATTGGCCGATGGATATCGACTTAGCGATAAGGCGCTGTTGTTTGTGGATCTATCCCCCATTGTTGTTGGTTCTACCGTTACCGTTCGCTTTTATATTGCACTTAGGATCAAGGCCCTTCCAAAATAGTGGGGTCTTCACATCGTGTTGGGTGTGACTGATTCTGGGGATGAATCAGAAGTTGACCGGTCTAGAACAACGATTTACCATTTTGTCTTTGCATGACAAAATGGTCATTGGCCTGGCTGAACTGAAGAGTACAGAATATGTTGTGTCAATTGTAGACTTGAACTATCTTGAACTATCTTGAACTGGATGTTCTTGGCATGTTGGTTTGCCTCATTTTGCCTCCATGGTTTTGGTGTTCGATCCAGAATCTTCCAGAAATTTTGCTGACCGTAGTTCCGTAGTTTCAGAGTGTTTCAGGTAGTTCCCTCACAGCCCCATCGCCAGCCCGAGGTGAAGATTTGGAGATTTGAGAACGAGGCATTTTTTACATGGAAAGTTTGGAAAAGTTTGGGAATTGGACACCTAGGATGCCTGGGACGTGACGAAGTCTCTGGGAGGGATTTCAACATGTTTTTCATAGTAAACACTGCGAACATCTGCGAGCCCTGGTGTCGGATCAGGTCTGGTGTGAAGAGAATCCTCGTTTCCCGTACTGCCACACCGATTGGGTGCCGCGGCTGATGGACTAAGTGTCCAAGGGAGGGTATGGGCAACGCGGCAACGGGTCTAACTCTTTGACACTTGGGCCATTGGGCCATTGGGGAGCATGCGAGTAGACATGATGACGTGACATGACCACAAGTACAGATAAGTACAGATAAGTACAGGTGCATGATGATCATGATGTGTTTGGACATATATTTCATACGTTGGGTTGGTCTTGTAAGTTGTGGCCCCATCCTTACTGCCAACATGTCCCCAAAGTGTCCCTAGCGAGTGACAGATTTGTCGCAGAGGGGTATACTGGGTATACTGTATACTTCATGTGTCCTTGTGTCCTATGCATAGACTGCATAGATTCGCATAGATATACAGATCATATCAGATCATGGCATGGCGGCATGGCATGGCATATGCCATCATTGGCCCCACCAGAAGCTGCAAGGTCCGAGATGTCGCTTGGCGACCAGACCACTCCAGTGTGCTCGCCACTGGGAGCGATGGGTGGTTGGGTGGGAACTCCACAGCTCAACCGATACTCAGTCAGCCGAAAAAGATCTTGGCGATCAGACTGTGCCTTGAAGCAAGGCTTTACCAAACAGCACCGACACTTTTGACATGTTTTGACATGTTTTGACATGGAAATGCCACGAAGTTGACCGGAGAACGGGAGTGATGGGAAACAGACCTGTGCCAGATCCACCAGTCTCGACCAGTCTCCCTCAGGAGCTGGGATCAAACGGTGGTGATTTGGTCTCAAGAGATGGAAGGCCTGGCGCAGCGATGCAAATCTCCGTTGTTCCTTTGGCAATATTCACATTATTTGTTACCCGGTGGTAAATTAACATAGACCCTGAAAATGACCAATTTATAGTGGAAACTAGTCTTCCAACCCCTATCTGGCAGGGTCTATGTTAATTTACTGGAGGGTAATTTGTTTCACTATTGTTTCACTTGATGAACGTTTTTTTTCTGACATGTTTGGATGGTTGCCGGAGATGCTGCAAAACTTGGGGTCGCTGGGTGATTTTGAATCGACTATGGGGATGCCTTGAGCACCAAACGCCATGCAGAGAAGTTTATTTTGCAAATTGGATGTCAGGGGTGCCCCACTAGGACAGCTTGAGCAGTGCAGCACGCATTTAACCATCACAATCCACAGAAAAATCCAGGAGGTCCGCACAGATTGTTCAAGGATTGTTCAAGGTTGACAAATTGACATAAATTGACAATTTTCGTCAAAATCCTGGCCTTAATATAGCGATGCTCAATGGGCTCAATGGTCCCACAGAAGCATCTTGATCTTGAGAGCCGAAGGCCAAGCATGGAGGCAGTTGTGTAAACTCCCGGTGAACGGAAAGGTGGAATGCCTCTCTTGGCTGGTGACCCAGTGACTGAAGCGCATTGGGAGAATGTTATTGAGTCGTATTTGAGTCTATGTAAATGGTTTCAGATTATTTCAGATTCAATTTTTACCCAAGTGGCATTTTTAGGATGAACTCATCAGATCGCTTTTCTGGAAGTGGTCCACACACCACAGGAAAATGCGGGGCTGCGATGGGAATCAACGCAATCAACGCAATCGCGAGGTCCATCACCGGTAGCGTGTTGGCAGTCTCCTACGGCAACTTGGCACTCGATGGGGATCTCTGGGACCCCTGGGACGCCTGGGATGGAGAAGGATGGAGATCTACGATCTACTGAGGTGATGGCATGTCCATCATCTTCAAGGAGGCCCTGCGGTGAGGCTTTGCTCGTTTTCTATCGTTTTCTTGTGTTGCCATGAAATTATGATGAAATTATGATGATTCTATGAATTCAAATGAATTCCTTAGATTCTGGATGCGAATTTGGAGAGTTGAAGAATGTATGCTGCTATTTTGCCTAAGTGCTGGGTGAGGGTAGCCCAACCAGCAGCTCTTTTCGAATGCTGATTATGCTGATAAATTGTAAAGCGATCATATGAGATCTTGGAAGTGAAGCCTTCAGGACCCTCTTGGGAGAAGATGATTACTGCATCATCTGCATCCGGAAAGTCAAGGAGAGACCCCTAAAGGAATTGGCGGAATTGGCACGGAACCCGCCAAGGCCTATGACGGCCATTTCGATGAGGTTGGCAAAATCGAAGAATCTGGATACACCGAGGCGCCAACAGGATCCAAAAGGATCCAAAAGGGGGAAATGCGATGGAAATGCGGAAATGCGTTGATCTTTGATTTAATTTATCTTTGATTGATCGGTTTATCTGTAATTTCCAAGCTTGTCAAGATGTTTCCTCCCGATTTTTTTTCGTGACTAACTGGTTCTAGAGTGGAAGGATACCTATTGAAAGAATGTAGCTCGAAAAGATTGGACAGACATGGACAGATATCTGCTAATTTCATCTGCTCAGCTGTCATGTGGCTAGGCGGCTAGGCTTGTTGTGTTGCTATGCAAGAAGCTTCACTCGAGGTCATGACAGGCCACTTCCCAACTGGAGATGCAGCAGAAGTTGATCCCTTATCAATCTTATCAGGCATTATGGATCATTATGGGTGTATATAGATTATATAGTAGGTATTGAATGGCATTGATACTTTCTAATAACTGATTTGAAGACTTTTGAAGACGTGACCACTGCGAGACGCGCTTTACAAATCCGGTGATGTCGAAGCCAGGTCCCAGGAAAGCTGTCACCACCAGCCCCAGGTGGGAAACGGGGTGGGTACATGACTGGTACATGGTAACAACGGAGTGGAAAGTCATAGTCGTGTCTTCCCACTCCGTCTTTGTGTCGCGGCTCAAAGAAGTGGATTTGGTGAACCGCGGAGCCATCGACAGGGGCAGACAGTTGTCATTGCTAGGAAGGAGCCCAAGGCTGAAAGTGTAATCATATGGTTTGAATGTGCCAGTCCATTTCTTGAATTGAGATGTTCCAAATAAGATAGTAGCATGCGTACCAGCCATGTCTAAGAAGTCTATTTAAGGCAGGAGTTTGACTCTAAAGATATCCGATGTCTTGATCTGTAAGTAAAGTAGTAGTGTAAATATGTGTAAATAGTATTTGTCCGTGGCAGACATAGCGTTTGTGAAGATTCAGAGTGTTGGAGGATCCGCTGCTTTTGTTTGCGCCAGATGTGATGAGCTTCCCATGGGCAAACAACAAATCCGACTAATCCGAGCCTCCATTGGATCCATTGGATCTATCCGGATCGTGTCCAGGTGATGCTGGGCTTGCCAGGGAGCCCAGCTCGTAGCTGTCGTGTTAGTCGAAGCTCCGACTTCAAAGAGATCTGGGAAAAAAAAAAAACTGGAACTGATGGAACTGAGAAAACTAGCAGATCATGACTGCAGGATTGACACCGGTCTCACCCCATTTTCCTCTGCCATGTTCATTGGGTTGATCGATGTTGATCGGCAATAGGCCCATCATGCTGTGCATCTCAGGCTGCACCGGCGGCAGCCAACTCAGAGATGGCTCAGCAGCAGCAGGCGCCCAGCGAAATCCAGCGCCCAGATCACGCCATGCATTGCCAAACTCCAAAAATTACAAGCACCGGGGTTGGTTTCAACCATGTTTCAACCTAAAGGTACATTTATAGCCACGGAGAAATTGGTACTTGCTTGTAATTGGTTATATTGAATTTTACACAGAATCACCATATTCACCTGGTTCACACAGGTTAAAGCGATATGTCCGATATGCCACGTCCGGTGCGCATCGCTTCCAGCCAGGCAGTTCTCGAAGCCTTTGGCATGTGACAGGACAGGACATGGTCCGGTTTGCATCTCACAACGCTTCAAGATGCTGCAAGATGGTTCAAGATGGTGCCAACAAGCCAAGTTAAAAATGGTTTGCATTGCATTGCATGTTTCATGGTTGGCCGCGGTTGGCCTTGAATTGACCCGGAAAATGGCACCGTTGCCAGGACCTTTGTGATGTGCAACGCCTACAAACAGCCGCACCCAAATCAATGGGCCATCAGTGCAGGATGGTTGCCAGAACGGATGCCCGAAACACAAAAAGGACAACAGCTTCCTTTCAGCAAAAAAGGGTTTTGTAGCTACTTGAGGCACTGGAGTGGAGATGTTTGCTTTTCGGAAATTGATGGAAATATACTACTTGCAGCTCTTGCTACCTGTTCACAACTTATTCACCATCTTTGATGGTTTGGGTGCCGGCGCCGGTGCAGACGTAAAGACCTGCACACGCTGCAAGCGTCGTGCGGACAAAAAGTTTAGGAGCCTGTGGTCGTTTGTCGTTTTCCTTCCTTTCGACGAGTCAAACGTCCACGAATCTGTGTTTTGGGTTATCTTGGTGGAACTGTCTGATTTGATTTGGCCCATATACATCGTGATGCACCAGCTGTGATGAATTTGCCACCACATTTGTAAAATTTGGTTGGTTCACATTTGGCAACATCCCCCAAGAAATGCACATGCCTACGATATGTGGTAGATACCATTAATATATATAATATATATATATATGGCTAGGTTTATGTGGTCCTTTGCTGCCCCTTTGAATTTACAAAGATTCTGGTGATTGCTTTGCACTGGGATCTATGTCTTGCTGCCAAATGCGATCTAGATGGCCACGTTCTGGAGGGACTCACATATCACATGTTGAATCTTCGGGACGTGCATGTTTCTGGTCAGCAAAGCAGACAACTTGTGTCTGACCTTTTTAGTTGGTGAGGCGAAGCCGGAAGGTTCAGCTTTAGGGCGACTCGTTGGCAATGTTTGCTACACCTGAATCTCCGTCCATGTCTTGTAGTGGATGGATGTGGATGGTAGATGATGGTAGATGATGGTGGATGATGGTAGATGATGGTAGTGGAATGTAGTGGATATCATAAAGAAATCGATTGCGAAGCTGACGTTCCGCTGAAGTTCAGGGGCCCAAGCGGCCGTTCCGCGGCCCCGCCGCTCCGCCGCTTGCGGCTTCGGCAAGGCCTGAGCCATCGCACTTTCCAAGGGGAAGATGGGTCAATAAGTCGAGGGACTACGATGGACTTCTAACAACGGGGTAGTTGTCTCTAAACCCACCAGTGAATTGTCAAATGTAACTGTAATATAAATCAACTGACATTAAAGTGCCACAGTGCGCTGTTTCCCTCCGGTTTCAAAGAGATGCCACTGAGATCAAAACAAACACCTTGATCCCACTCCACAGTGTTGCAAGTTGTGAGGCACTGAACCTTCAGAGGGCCCATTGCTTCAATAGTTGAGCTATGTTGAGCTTGGGATTTCAGGGCATTGAGATTTTATTCATGAACCATCCAAAAATATCCAAAAATGGTGTTTCCGCATCATCCAAAAGGCAACATCAAAGTGTCATCCCCCAAGGTGGTCCACCAGGCGCCATGAAAGCGCTCACCAAGATCCGAAAGGGCATCGTCGGAAACTTTGAAAGCGAAAAGTGAGGATTTGGATCGTGCAAGGTTCATACGTTCAAGATATGTTGCCTTCCCCAAAAGTGGGAGATACAGTATTTTGGGGTGGGTTGAAACAGTGCTTCATAGACCGCTGACCAACCATTGTTGAAGCCCGAGTTCCCCAGAAAGCAGAGGTAACTCCAAGATGGTTTCTGCATGTTTCTGCTGATCAATGCGTTTAACTGCTACGGCTGAAACCGGCCAAACCCACGTGCTATCCTGGGTCCAATGTCATTGTGTCCAATGTGTCCAATGTGTCCAATGTCAGAACCCTCTGTACATCTCTGTACACTGTCCCGCAGCCGCGTGCGCACACCGAAATTCCATGGATGTTGGCAAAAGCAGCGGCTCCAGATGGAGAGATCGACCATTTTTACGGACAGTGACACAAGCCAACACAAGCCACAATTAAATGTTTCGAAAAAACACTCGATTGAATATAGAGCACTCATTAGCACCCCACTGTTTTCGATTTCAATTTGATTTGAAATCACTGGCCACATGAGCCACATCACCAAGTTTAGATCGTTGAAGCTCCACCAATGATACAAAGAATCCAGGATCCGACACACAGAACGCCAAATAACTCAAATAACATCCAGATTTGATTCGCTCTGAGAACATCCAGCTTTTTCCACCTTACAGCGCCATGTGGTGACGATGTGTTGAACACAGGGTCGTGGATCAGTTTCCCATGGAGGACTTGGGATTGGATTGTTTCTACTTGGTGTGGTTCCTGGTTGGAAGGATATACTGATATACATGGAAAATAACAATCGATGATTTTTATAGTCTTTGGTTGTATAGTTATAGTTTCCACATTTGTCTGGATTTCATTGCTGCGCTCTTTCTCAGTCTTGTTTTGGTTGCATGAATGGCTTTTGTTGGCTGGCTGCTCTCTCTTGTTTTCTGTTTTCTCCCAGCATTTGAGCCTCTTGAGCAATGGTTCTAGAGAGTGTTTATTGAGGAGGAATGGATGATGGACACTCCTGTAGTGTTGCTGCAAACGTCTCTCCGATGCAGGATGTTTGGGGTAGGGAGCGCTAGGAAAAGTCAAAGCAAACGATCAGTGGTGTGATGTCCCGTGCATAAACAAACATGACAGTGAAAATCCCTCTGCTGGAGTAGTGTGAATGATGGTTCAATCTTGTTCAATGTATCCAACGCTGTTTGGATAACAACGTGTTACAGCGAGGGCTGCACGTGACACGTCAGAAGTACCGTAACAGGGGGAAGATGCCTCGGACCTTCAAAATTGAACCACTACGACCACAAGGATCTCGTGACAATCCTACCTCCAAACAATGGTGGTGTACTTTCTCAGTGTCTCACTTTTCTATCACGATTGTCGCGGTTTCGAAATACTACGCGTTGCACCATTTGGATGTCCGACATAGACGTAGCTCGACGTATCTCGACTTAGCTCGACTTAGCTCATCGTAGCTCCCTAGGTCCAAAGAGATCCACTTCGCAGCTTCCAACGGAGTCCGATTCAGCGATCTCGCCTTCATCTCCAAGGCGATTCTATCGATTGTGGCCTGGCCATAGGACCCACTGAATCTCCGCCATCTTCTGAGATTCCGATGAGATTCCTATATATATATATAATTATATAGATGCTGTATATATTACATGATATATGTATTATAGAGAGAGAGAGATGAATTAGATCATGAATTAGACCATTTGCGAGTGGGATTCAAATTTCACATCAGGTGACACTTCAACAGTTTCATGTCCTGTGAGCACCTTTGGATGGAGCCTTGAAGCCGCCTGAGGTCGCGATTGCGCTTGGGCCACGCGGATGGGAGTTGGGAGTTGGGAGTTGGGAATGGCATGGCATGGCATCCATTGAAAACAAGCTGTCGCAGATTTCCCTGGAGTTGCTGTCATATGTCAAGATCTCACGTCGGTGGAACGAGATTCCTTCAATTGTTCAAAAGAACGAGTTTCATTGAAAGGTACAGTAGCCCACTAGCCCATCATTCATGAGAGATGGTTTTGCCATGCTTCGTCTCGGCCATCCAAATACTGAACGAGAGGTAACAACAAGGTACTTTTTGTTTACTTTGCCACATTCTGAAAGGCATTGAAAGGCTAAGATGCATGTCCAGTAGCTCCTTTTGCACTTGTTGGTTCCTCAGAATTCCTACGCGATTGCAGCTGCTAAGGCTGTTTCTTTTGTGGTGTTCCACAATTGGACTTCCAGACTTCAAAGGGAGGCAAGCTGAACGGCCAAGAGATGAGATGTCCAACTCGGTCTTGCTGGTCTTGGCCTTGACCATGGGCCCCTTGGAAATCCTTGGAAGTTGGGCCATTGGGCCATTGGGGTCCCCCAGTAACTTCAGTACCACCGGAAATTTGCCAAGACACTACATCTTGTGTTCCAAGGATGTAACGCAGGTAAAATCAACCACTTCGGGAAATTCCCGGTAAGATTCAACTTTCAGGCCAGCCCCCTCAGTATCCACCGGCTCCATGTTCAACTGGTGTCTTGAGCTCTGCAGATTGCTGAGGTTTAGACTATTACTCCACTGATCAGTATCAGACTCTTGGATCGCATGCTGGTTATGGTACCTTTTTACGGATATGGATATGTTTTTTTTTTTAATTGTGAGGATTGAAATCAATGCTTCAATTCAACTGGCACCCCCAAACTCTGCACTATAAATGACGTTGACAGATACCTCAACGAGTAGAATTACAAAAATTATTTTACGGTCACATAAGATTGCAAGTAGATCTCTTCAGGTCTGAACTATGCCAGCTCCGTTTGGTGAAGCACACCTTTCACGGCTTAGAAAAGACCACTTTGGTGGGGACTCTCCTTGCAATAGGGCCATCGATAGATCTTTGAAAAGAATTGGCCCATTGGCTGAATTAGCTGCTCACAATAAATCCATTGATCTCACTTCTGTGTGGTGTTTTGGCCCCTTTTGGCACCTTTCGACCCCTTTCCATTGTCCAGGTCCAGTATGCCCAACATGGCTGTGGAGTTTGACGTCTCACAGGCCGAGAATGGAGGGTACCAGATATCAGGAGTGGACCCGTGGTCAAAAGATGTCAAAAGGAATATCTGGATTTTGATATTTAAGACCTGTTCTGTTGAATTCGTTAGGGTTGATCCTCCCATTCGGAGTTATAACAATCCTGTGCCGAAGTGGTCAGCACGAAAATCCCTGAAGCTTGCTGTGGCAGGCAGCCATGGGGATGAGCATCCTCATTCATACCGCAACTTCCCTGCTTCAAGTGTTGCAACATGTTACAACGACTGTGACCAGAAATTTTGGCCGAACTGTACTCGATGCTTCCAGTTTCAGACCTTTGTTCATTTTCATGTGTGTGATTATGTTGGCACTGGTGAGGCTGCTTCTTCCGCACTTAGTCTAGAGAATACAATGCAGTGGCAAGCCACTCCTTCTGTTTCTCCGGTTTGTCAAACATCTTTGCAGCTTCCCCCATCACTGCAAAGAGATGAAATAAGATTGATCATTGGAGATTATCTCATATCTCCATATATCTCCATAGCAAACTGTGACTATCCATGCCCAACAGGCGGTGTTGCGACTGGGACTCCATGTGCCGATGGAGCTCAGGTAGTCCTATCAGTAGCTCTCCTTTTTGCTGGACCATTGTCCGAT